ATGTAAAGGGCACTGACACGAAGAACACAACACTTGCATAAGAGCTGATGAAGCCTATTTGGAAACAGAGCTACATCCATACTTTATATCAGTGTATGGTATTGTTGCCCACTTGTAAAACAGAGAGAAATTGTCTTTGTTTTGCTATTGTACGTATTAGATTTCACATCAAATACACCTTGTACGTCTTATATGATAACCCAAGGACCCACATGCAACTAAACAACACAAATGTACCTGAGCAGAAGTCCTCAGAAAGTCCAGGAAAAGTGGAATTAGAGCTGCTTCTAACCATGTAGATTACCACAAACATGACAACCGTGTCTTCCACTTCACACAGGAAGCTGAACTGAGTCAAAGACTTCAATTCTTTCCTTCAAAGATAGTGTAAAGCTTCCAGATAAAGGCATGGTTCTGTCTTGAAGGATACTGCTCATCTGTGTGGGGAGAGTCCCATTTTCTAGGCTCACTTGCAGGAGCTGAAGCCAATTCTCACTAGAACAAATCACCATCTTCAATTAAGGGCTTAGCATGTGCCTCCTGAATGTCCCCCAAATACACAGCATTATGTATATGCTGAAATGTCCAGAGTCCATCTTCAGTTGTATGGCACTTTCCTCCCTGGCAGTGAGTAACTGCAAGAGCAGCACAGTTGTTAGTTATGCAGTGCACTTTGTTTCAAGAAGGTGCTTGATGTTCCTGTTGATTAACACATCACTGAGACTTGGCAAAAGAAGAACATTCTGGTAAACTTCCTGTCTTGATGAAGATAATGTTCTTCTCCACTCACAGAGTGTCACTCACGCTGCACAGAAACATCCTGTCCAAGAGAAATGTAGCATTTGTCACATAATAATGAGGTTTTTCTGTTTCTTCTTCATTTGCCTTTAACAATGACCAAGGGTGCTGTATGTTTGGTAGGATCTCTTTGTAGCAACTTGTTGATGTTACCACATTATCATGATGAGTAACTACCATATTTCCTGTTAATTGGAAATAACCAGGAAGATATTCAACCCCAAGGTACCAGTTCATATCCCCTGTGCTAAACAAGTATCTAAAAAATGCCCAGCATCTGCCAAATGCATCTGTAAATTTATAATCTGAATCAAAATAATCAGGCAAATTAATGGAAGAAAAATCTACTTAGGGCTATCAAACACTGAGATAGATCTTTGATTCAGAAGATCTCTGAACCATGCCATTTTAGCTCGGGGCCAGGACAGTGCTGTGGAAACCTTTACTCCTCTTCCTGCATCTGCCCTGGTTGGGCAGCAGTGGGTGCCTGTCACAGACAGCAGAGCAGATTGTGAGATATTTAGATGAACCTCCCTGTCTGTGAGTGCTGGGCTGGCTCTGTTTTCACCTTCAGCTAAGACTTGTAAACACCCCCCAAAGACAAAGTCTATTAGGATGACTCTGCAATGGAGGGATAGCAAAGGAGGGCAAGACAGTTCTCCAAGAGAACAAAAGCTTGTACTAATGAGGAATCATATTTGGATAGGAATCCATGTCGTATACTAAATTAAACACAGGAACCTTCTGATGAATCTTTTAACTTCAAGCGTATGCACTGAAGCCCAATAGCACTTCAGCACCATGTTCAGACTGTGATAACCAGCCTGGCATGTAAGCCTTAAGCATAATTGAAGACAGAACTGTTTGAGCAACAAAGAAGAGTATAGGAAGTCATAGCAATAATGCATATCTTTCCTTTGAGATCAAATAGAGATAAAAACAATATAAATAGTGGCAGTCAATGAGAAATAGATTTTTTTGGTCCTATGCATGCTAATTCAAACTAATAAAACAGTATTTGAAAAGTGACAAGGCCTACAAAGCAAAGTAGAGCCAGAGAGTACCTCTGTAGTGTGCTAAGTCATTTTAAGCATTATTTAAAGGGAAAGGAAGTAACCCCTAATCTGCTTATCCAGTGACACACAAGTGTAGATGTAAGCATGCTGAAGCTACAGAGATCCCTGGAGTTATGACAGTAAGAAGGGGACATATTATGTCCTGAAAGATCATAACATTCAATAATGCTTTATTTTAACTGTATTGAGGGGAGGGAATTGATTACAACAGGTGAAAGGAAGTTTAGTGACTGCTAGACTAATGAAAATGTTGCTTTTATAAATGGTAAAATTTTGAATTTCCCGATGCTCTTCTGGGCATTGCTATTTGTTGCAGATGAGCAGAGCACAAACAAAGTAACTGAGCTGTGTGTGGATAGGCTTGTCTGCTCACTACAAGTTTACTGCTGGATTGGGCTCATTATTTGAATTTCCACATATTCAACAGTACTGTGTTCATAATGTGTGAAAGCAAACTTAACTGGTTCAACAGGGAAAAACCTCTTTATACCACTGACTTCCATGAACAAAAAGAGGTTTGCAATGTATTTATTAAGATATTACATAAGTAAAACAAAATTCCCCTGGTCTTTACTGAGCTTTGGATCAGGTGCTTGTTAAAAAAAAAAAAAAAAGCCAGCTTATCACACAAATGCAATATTTAATCCCCAGATATTCTGCTTCAACCAGTGTAATTGAGTTCAATAGCTCCATGTTTATTTTATGGCCTATGCCTAGATATTAACATAATGAAAAACATGGGGGGAAATGTCATACCTACTCCCACACACCTATGCAAATGTAATTGTAATGGCTCTCTGTATTTCACAGTAGACCTTTTATGAGAATCACCATGCCTATTCTGTCTAAAATAAAATCTGTTATGTAAAAATGTTTGAAACAGAACTTTGTTTTATTTAGCATTAAACAAACATGTCCAGCTAGGACTCTTGATACTGCTTTGCCTATGCATACATAGGCATGGATCTGTTTGTCTGTATCACACAACAAAGCTTACCTGCTAAGCACAGCCTGTACTTCAGCCACATGAAAAATATTCTCACTGATCAGCATCCACTTGTTGCATCTCCCCTCAAAGGATTGAATCTTACTTAAATGTACTGTTTCCTGAGCATCCCTTCACTCAACAGGCCTTTGCACAGCACTGCAAATCCATGGAGGAAGTGAACTCACTCCATCCTCTCTCTATATCTGCATGAAGCCTTGCACAAAAGGGCTGTGACTTATTTGGGGCCCCTGGGTGTGACTGCCATACAAGTAGTAACTAATGACAACAGACCACTGAGATGCACTGGTTGTAAGGAAAAATAAAACCCAGTCCATAACAAGCACATTCCATGTCCACTTGTACGTAGAAATATAGTTGAAATGGTAGGGCTTGATGAAAATCTTCGAGGCACCTCATCTGTCTCAATTTGACTTTCCAGACAACACCAATACAAATAAATGATGTTGTGATTTGTGGAAAAATGACCAAGATTTAAGATTTTCACTCAAGAAAATTTATTGAAATGTACCTATGAACTTCAGTCTTCTTTTTCCTTTCCTTTCCTTTCCTTTCCTTTCCTTTCCTTTCCTTTCCTT